AGAGAGCCTTCCTTACGAGTAGGTATATTTCCTTTCTTCTACCTCTAACCTTATCGCTGTATCGTCTGAGCCGCTCCCGTGCGCATTCCAGGTCGCTGGTTTCAGAGGGCTCACTGGGCGATCTAAATCCAGTGAGAAAGATAATTTGGGTGACCACCAAGAATGCATAAGCGTCAATGAGAGCGTTAGCGAGGCGGCAAAGCGACCTGGCGTCGAATTTCACATGTGAGCTCAGCCACTAGAGATCTTGCAGCCCGCGTAGGGTGCAGCCAACAATCCGTTCCCAATGCTTTTTGGATTGTTCGATACACTTGACATTGGATGTAAAGAAAGGCCAAATAAAGCAGCAAGCGCCAGGGAAGAAGATGCTTGTTCCAAACTTAGTGAAAAACAGAGAAGGAATCAATTTCCCAACAACTAATAATAGTCGATTACACTATTGTAAAACTTCTTCAAGCCTCTTCATGAGTGAAGCTCGATGGAAGACCCTTGAGGAGGGAGATGCTTCATAGTTTTTTGCATCTTGTACTGAACAGCTTGAGGTGACTAATTCTCATAAGGTAAGATCTTTTTGATGCGCTCCCCACAGAAAAAAGGTTGTTTTAAGAGATCCGCCATAACAGCTCGTCCTTCAAGAAACCCGCCATGAGAGACAGCGTAATCCATATATGGACACAGCCGAGATGTCCGAACAGCCGCTGCGATCGCGCGTGCTTCACACCTTGCATGCATACGGTTGCGCATGGCGTGAACATATCCTCCCAGACGACCACTGTTGAATCGCACCATGGAAATCGGCCTCGAGTATCGACTGTAGGCACACCCACTTCTTTCAGTTTTCCAACTAACCTTTTTCTCGATCTCTCTGAACATGTAGTAGCGGTTGGTACGTTTTCATCAGAACTTGTGTCATCATCGCTGCTCGAGCTGCTCGATGAGGAATCGCTGCTTGACTCATTCGGAGCCGGCCCTCGCATTGACTGCTCCATAATGGGGATCAATTCTGGGCGCTCCTGGTTGAGCCTGTTAAACCGTAAAAGTATCGGCTATCATAAAGAGAGAAGAGAATTCTTATGAAGAACTACTTTACCTTTTGAACCAGTGCTTACTGAGTTTCGGTCTGCCCTTCACTGTTCTTGGCCAGACTTGCGCCAAATTCACTACAGAACAATAGTTTTGTGTGACTGCAATGGTGTTATCCTCATTAATCACGACGTGCCACCAACCTGAAACTGGTTACCGTTTACATACGTCTAGACAGAAATTAGTGTCAACAGACTGAGGTATAGTCTGAAATTTCTTGGCCAGATAATGACAAAACTAATCCTCACCGGACGGCACAAACATCGTGTCACCCGGACCTTGGCGCGCCTCAATTACAGGATATTCTTTGGGCCATGTTGACGCACGAACGCGTTTATAAACCGTCATAAACCAGGTTACCGCCTCATCCGGATGTTTGCCTTTCTCCGAGTCGTATGGCTTGACCAGCGTTCTAGGTGCTTCCGGTGGGATCAGCACCCACCTTAGGACAAACTTGTAATGAAATTCAGAGACACGAATGACTAACGTCAAGATGCAGCTTACCGCTTATGACCTTTGATCAAAGCATTCCAAGCACTAGTGCCAAGCGGATCAATGTGGATGGATGTACCTGATCGAACTGGACCCATCACAAACCACCTGCAAAATTGGTACGACACATATTTTGCGGAACAGATATAAAAATCTCATACCGATGGGGAGGTCGCTTTTTGTGATCAGCATAACCGAACAAATCATCTCTGAAGAAAGAAGGAACAACGTAATCATCAAGTAGTCTACTCGTTTTATGACGCTGAAATAGTCAAATCGCATAAGACGATAGTAGCACCAACATCAGGAGTATTAAATGACACGTACATCGCCAAATCCACTGTCAAAAATGTACAGGGGGCTATCGTCCTCGTTGTTCACCATATAATCTGCATAGTACTTCATTTTCAGCTTCACAGAGTAGCCATCATCATCTTCCCCGCACTTGAATCGTTGATTGCGATATTTGCGAGCAATCCTCTGGAATATACCACATGTGGAGATTGCCTTCACAAAACACCAGAGAACTTTCTAAGGGCCTATCACCATGCTCCTCGCCACATAGTCACCCATGCTGACCACACAACGATTTGGTGGCTGCGCCAAATTACAGCAATTGTTGGAGCTGAACTTTACAAAATTCTCTGATTTGCCAACAAAGCAGAGTACGCATGAAAGGTCATGGAAAAAATAAGTTATAGACAGAAAATCTGACTGCAACATGCAAATTAGGCCTCAATTTTTTTTTGCAAAATTGTCCAATAAACAACCATTCAATAATTCTCGTGAACAACCACTTCAGCAAATTGCAAATAAGTGTTCTAAATGGTCATAGTTGCAAAAAAGTGCAAATTTGTTCAAGTCATATGCGCTAATACCGAGAGAAGGCAGCGACAACAATGAATTTTTACTGATGTGTGAAGAGCACCTACCGATACCGTCCACTTTTCATGGGCAAGCCATTTATCAGTAATACCCGTCAGGATCACGGGAATACGAGGAATTTCATACTTCTCACGGAACTCGTTGAGAGACAGCTTCGTGGCGTCCACTCTTGAAATTGAAACGATGACGCTTTTTTCAAAAAAAATACTTTACCGGTCGAATCAACAGTTACCTCGTAATGTTATCATGAAAATCAGGAAGCACAAATTTCTGAGCAAGGCCAAGTGTATCCCAGCCGAAGTGATTTAACTCTGAAATGAAAAAAGTTCGACTTTGTGAAAAACGAGTCTGTAGTGTTGCATACCTGGTCTCGCTTTTCGTTTTGCTTCTTCAACACGACGAGCAGATCTACGATGATTGTACGATACGGTCATCCTTGAGGAGTACAGTCAGAGCAAACCTATTCCTGCAACTCAATTTGAAATGAGCAGGTAAAGTAAATGGAAGCACGGCTTCCACCAATTACGGATTTTGATCCAACTTTCAACTGAATATCACTTTGCAAAACATATCCAACCAAGTGATATCCGCTGAACAAGTGAAATGGCGGTTGGAGTTTGCAGTCGGGATGGTGTCAATAGGAGGATCCAAGTTATAGAGTCGCAGACTTTTATCGAACTATGCCTAATTTATCGAACATCCTCTATTACCGTTAACATTTCCTCTATTTGTTGAGTAGCTGGCAAAACCTCGCCCGGTACAACCGCAAACTCAATTTCCCACTTTTCTGCTTTCCTTGCATTGACTCAATTATAATAGATGTTAACCAAACAAGCGAATCTGCAAATTTAGTGCGAGTCTAACCTGAAACTGGCATATTGGTTTAGGTGATAAAGGTTCAGGTAAAGTGGCCCTCAGCTTTGTCTCCTCTCCTACGCCTCACTTGAGGAACTATGAGTGTGACTCACAGTCACTTCATCCGATAACAAGCCTTTGGGATTTAGTGGTACTTCGAGGCAGATAACATGATGGTTTAAAAGCGGTACAGTTCTGAGGACTTCATTGAACGCCACTGGCAGATCAGATCCCTGAGCGCGCTGAGGGAGAGGTGTGGTTGGGAGATCTCATAAAGCAACAGTCCCAGCAGGGTTTTTACCTTCGACACTAATGGTGTGGAACGATGCGCTAGCCCTAGTCAAGAACATAAGAAGTGTGACTGAACAAAAACTCTTGGAAAGCCGCTAGAAAGGGAGCTGAACGGCTTCGAAGTGGGCGTGGTTGGAAATCGGCCGAGGGATTGCAGCCGATTTCCAACCACGCCCACTTCGAAGCCGTTCAGCTCCCTTTCTAGCGGCTTTCCAAGGTGAGTTTTTTGTTCAGTCACACTTCTTATGTTCTTGACTAGGGCTAGCGCATCGTTCCACACCATTAGTGTCGAAGGTAAAACCCTGCTGGAGACTGTTGCTTCAACGCCCGTCCGCCAATGAAGATCAGTGACGCCATCAAATCGCCCATCCTCCAGCCATCACTACTGCCGTTAAGTGAAGATGGCACGACAGTGTGTTGAAGAAGGGCAAATATGTCTACTGTAAAGAAATTCTGAGCCCTCAAGAAACGAAACTTGGCACTTTTGTGGACGAAAAGCGCGTATGTGGCAGAGTAGCAGAGGCTTTCCTATCCCTTTCGACGCTTCGGTCCTCTGCCCGTCCTTTAGGAAGAGCTGCTGGCCACTAGCAGTAGGTCTGTAGACCACCACTTCCAATCAGAGACAGTGCGATAGCGAGGGAATCTCCCGAATACGCTTCTTTGTCCATGATCAGTTCCCTACCTCCCTTACCCTCCTATTTCCTCCAATTGCCAAAAACGCGTAAATCTGAAAGGATAGGGGGAAGAGGGTTTGCAACAAAAGGGGCAGTACAGTTCACCTCAAACTCCCAAATTTGCCCTTGAATACACAGCTCAAAACCGTAAGTTTCCATTCAAAGGGAGGTTTTGGAGCGCCCCAACGCTAACCCTCAACACTCCCCCTTGAAGATTTAGGGACTCTTCAGTCGCACACTTATGAGTGTCCGCTGCTCACACAGAAAAAAGGCGTGCCCTTCCACCTAGCCATGATAACTGAATCCATAAGAAGTACAACTGTGTAGTAGTAAACACTGAGATGAGATTAACCCCCGCAAGAGACCGAAGGAGCAGCATTCAAAAGACCAAGATCACGTGTACTATGGTCTGGAAAACGTCCATGAAACTATAGCTCAACCTGATTTCCGTGAGATCATATCACAACTCACAACTAAAGAAGCTCACCACCCAAGCTAGCACTCAAATTATCAGATGGAACCCATTCCGGAATGACAACAACAGAAGGTTGTGAAAATTACCAGAAAATATGCTTACTCAACGCTTGAACATTTCTATTCATCAATGAACGCAGAAATAATTATTTATTTCATTTCAAAACACAGGATCAGTTCAAACAAACACGGTAAACACGTTCTCTTCCAAAATAAGAGTTCTTAAAAAGTGTGTCACAAAAAAGCAAAACACATAAAAATTGGACGGGGATCACTCACCATATTCAAGAATTGTTATGACAAGGTGTTGAATGAGATAGCATCAAAGAAATATCCAGTTTCAAATCACTATGAACACCAGTGATTTTGCCAAGACAAAACAAATTAAAATTGAATTCAAAAATACGGGGCTATCCAAGCATCTGTTTTTGGACCACATCAGCGTTGAACTTGGTTGCTTCCCGACGCACTCGCTTCTCATATTCCGCCCTGAGAAAAAGTATCATTTGGTAGAGGAGTAATTTATGGTTACAAGCATTTACACATACCTGTTTTGACAGAAGATCTGGTAGGCTTCAGCTTGGGCTGGGTCATCGGGATTTGGATTATTTAGGAGATCTTGTATCCCAATAAGAAGCTGTTTTATCGTGATTGACGGTTTCCAGTCCTTATTCTCGTCCAGAAGTGATAAACAGACAGTGCCTGGAATAAGTGATACAGGGTCATTGTGCTCGGATCTATCATAAGTACAGCTCATGTATAGGCTGCAAAGAAACTAATGGCGGACTTGACCCACAATTCATGGATTTGCATTTCTATTTATACTTCATTCCAAAAACTATTTCCACATTCACACACACACAACTGCCCGCCGTCGATTAGGACTTTGAATGCCTCTCTCCGAGTAATCGACAGGATTTGAATCGAGGAAATGTTGAATGATCATTATGTGCTGGAGATAATCGTATTTCTCAGCTCTCCAAAAATTTTTTAGCGAAAGGAACGGGTGGTATTCCGTTGCACGACATTCGACGATATGATGAATGGGGCAGAACTGTGAGGACAGTTTCGATATATTTTTCAACCTTTCTTAGTAACATGGTCGTGGGTTATCATAAAGCGCAGGAACTTTCATCCATGAGCGGCCACAATTATGTGCAGCAAGCCTGCGTAGGTGCAAGGAGAATTTACCAACGTCAATACTTAGTGGTACTATTAATCGCTCATTTAAGACTTGAAGAAGACATACTTCTTAAAGAGATGCGTGTCCAAACAGGAAACAGATCCTTGTTCGGGTTAAAGTCAGTTTCTTTTTGCGGTTAAGCCGATCCATGCACTAACCCCCCGTGTTCTATGCATATTTGTCTTCTTCTCGCATTCGGTGACCCACTGTCAATCGAATAGAAAGGAGGACAACTTCTGGCAAGATGTGAAAAGTGCTCACGGGTGTCTTTAGAATAACCTCACCCAGCTCGTGTATGATCTGTCGTCCGAGTCTATAATTTCCTAGCTGCTTGAAGGCCTAAATGCACTTCTGAGTTACTGGTAATCGAGATGTCCACAAATTTTTAGGAGCCAACAATCAAAGGATGATCTAAGCAGACTTGTCTCCAAGGCTATAGCTGCCCTAACAATTCTTGGAACCAAGTCACCATTTCTTAGCCTTCAATAAGTCTGGGGCTTTACCATTCCTAAATTTTTTGGCATGCTTCGCACGCTCATGCCCCAAACGGAAGCTAAAAAGATAACAGTGGCAAACATGGCTCGGAATATTCGGCAATTTCTGGACTCAAGTAAACCTACAGATGGTGAAGCTAGAGAGTAGGAAGAGATTTCCGCAGCTATATGAATTCCCAAAAACTCCCACAGAGATCATGTGCAGCTATTTGCCAGCTTTTGGAGGAAACCGCAAGAGCTTTGGTTGTACCCAAATAAAAACTTAAAAACTGTAAGATTACGTCCAGCCTTCCTTCCACAATTTGCATGTTCACCATAGGGAAGCTCATTGTTTCGCATGTCACGACATCACTACTCAACTTAGAGAACCTCAAAACCTCAGAGGCTTTTTTGAGATGAAATTGAGTGCGTTCTTAAAGGCAAAAGTCAGGCTCGTGTTTGGGCATTATGGCGCCTGAAATTGAGTGTAGAGATGGGAGGTGGAACGACAGTGAAGAAAAAACGAAAGAAACCGTCGACAAGACCGAAATCGAAACCCCTTTCCCTTCTAGCAGTGAAGGAGGCTTGCTCGGGGGAGAGCCACGTCCAAACGAGTTTTCTGGATATGCCAGCCGTTCCATCGGTTGATACGGCAATCAACCTAGCTGATCTCACACGTTAGGCCAGCCACGCACCACATCCCGCGGTGGGCGATCCGTGCTGCCGGGAAATTCTCGCAGCACGGCAGCACACAATGCAAGGCCCTAGCGCCTTTGCCGCGCACTTCTTTGTCGCGACAGCCTCACACCCCCTCTGCTTGGAGACCCCACTTTTGCACCCTATAAAGGACTTCCTAATGTTCCCTAATCCTGACTCGTGGCTTTAAAAAGACGATTACTAAATTACATTCCGAAGAAACACGGCCAATGTCACTTTCTAACTTTCGAGAATGGTTTGAATATGATCACTTCAAAGCCATTCCATACAAACCCAAGTTAAAACGAAACTGTGCTTCTTCAGACCCGAGTCAGTTAAACTTTTTGGATAACAGGACTTTTATGGTAAAAAAAAAGGCCGCCGTATACCTGAAGGATAAACATTTGGATGGAATAATGGAGGCTCGAACTTGCATTTGGGTGGCGTTGAAGGGAAATCGTCTTTGAACAACATCCGAATCTGGAAAGAAAACTGATTGGAAGAGAGTATCACAAAACAATCACAGTGAATTCAAATCACAATTAAGCGAAGAGCTACTGGAACATGAAAATCATGAACGGAAATCAAGTAATTTAAGCGGCTTGATTCACTGCGAAACAGTTTTCCATCTGGATTTCATTGTTTGAACAGTCACCGAAAAATTGGTAGCCTTTTCCAACTATTAAGTTATTGAGAGGAAAAATAGTCTTACTCTATTTACAAGAGGGCCTCTACCGTACCAGCATGTATAAATCCAACCGGATAACTACTTGGCTCCCATCTTGGATTTACAGATAATGTTTCTAGAATTGAAGCAGGGTGAGTGAAGTTAATTCCAATAAAAGAACGAGCGTATAACAGCCCGACGAATTATTTACTCTATTTGAAAGAACGAGAGAATCTTCATGCGCACAAAAGACAAGTATTTCTCATGTTAAAGGTATGTGACTTTAGGAACGGAAATAGCGATATCGATGTAAGCCCCAATCCTCCAACTGCAACACATGGTTCACTCGCATGTGAACCAGAGCAGGGCGCGAATTTAGAGAGGACGAGAGTGATGGATGATCACCGTCGGCAAAAATCGGGTTCTAATTTTTTTTCTTCTTCGCTTTTTTCTTCACAAACGCACAGTTGGCACATCTGTAATTTTGTTTAGCGGTATCCGCTCACCGCGAGTTTTGTCTTAAACCTGCATTCTATAATCAATTACCGTACAAGAAAAAAAGTAACGAATTATATAATACCTACTTTGTATAAACCTCCTTCCCAAATAGTGTCCTTTTTGCCGGGTATAGCACATTCCCAATTGAAAAGATTCAAGGTGCCATCAGGATTTTTCACTGGCTTAGCAATAAATCCGAATGGATGGTCCTTCCGCCACGCCTTCCTCTCCTCAGCCAAGCGTCCCGCAGCGATTCCAGCCATTCCTGAAAAACTTTTATAGGAAAGCAGAAAACGATCAACTCTTGAAAAGTTGCCACTCGTCGAACGTTGAGCGTACTGCAAAACGGAGTATAAAACTGTACAAGCTGAAAAGCACTGATATCGCAGAATGGCGCTAAAAAACAAAAAAGTATAGCGAATTGAAAATGCAGTGGTGGGTCTATTCCAGTTAGGGGGGGGGGGCATCATGATGCAGTTTCTCGGCGAGCTAATGTAAACTCGAACATTCCAGCTTTCACGCATGTCAAGTGACTGCCCTCACCCCCACCCCCCTAGACTGGCTACACTCCCCCTGGCTCGGAGTTACCGTAGCTTTTTGGGAGTCACCGCACCATGATGCCCCCCCTAACTGGAATAGACCCTGCAGTGGTGCTAAGGCCGGTGTCAGACTTGGCGAATCGCGAGATAACAGCGTTGCACTAACGAATCGAGATGTGCACCAGGGTTTACGGACTACTTGATTTTTCCTCAATGGTCCTGCCGCGATGGCTAGAGCACAGACGATTAGAGAACGGGTGATGCCCTAGGACTAAGCCTTGGAGAGGAGAGGGACCCGCGAGAGAGCGCAGAGGCGGTTTAAAGGGCTGAGTTCAAGTAGTCCGTCAACCATGCACCAGCGAATCGAACAATGTACCAGCGATTCGGCACTGTTTGAAAGTGGCGGGACTCAATTTGAAAATTGGCTCTCGCCATTTCCCGGCTCACGAGGGTATGAAGAGTAAGAGGGCATGAGAGCTAAAGAAAGTAGTGAGAGTCAACGTGCAAACGAGAGGAAGTCTCGCCACTTTCGAACAGTGTCGAGTCGCTGGCACATAATTCGATCCGCTGGTGCAACGCTCGTACCTCGCGGTTCGCTGGATTTTCAAAGTCTGACAGCGGTCCAACTTAGTTGAAGGAGGCCACGCGGCGGCGCTGCGCTCGGTTCGTCTGCTCCCCTAAGGATTAGTCTCGGAAACTCTCCAACGTGAAGAAAACAGCATTAAGACCGCCGTCACACTCGGCGACGGACAAGCGATGGAGCGATCGCGATCGCTCCATCGCTTGTCCGTCGCCGAGTGTGACGGCGGTCTAAGGCGGTCATTGGGACTAATAAGCTTATTGATAGAGGAAGTCTCGACAGACGAGTTCAGCTCAGAACTTATGGAAATGCCGATTTTATGCGAAAAAGCACAGTGCTGAGCATAAGAATCCATTATTCGCAAAGTAGTTGTTCCTTGCCTGCTGGACACTTTTGCTGGTAGCCCCCAAAAGCCAAAAAGACGATTTGCAAAAGGGGTTATAGAAAAAATCAGGAAAACCGTCGTCTAAAGTAATCTCGGTCGAAATTTTGTGTTATTTCGCTCGGAAATGAAGCAAAGGATCGAAGAGGACGGTCAGTGTAGAAAACACAAAAGAAACTATAAAAAAACACTAGAGTGAAGGGCCTCGCTTTCTTGTAAGCTCAATAGTAGCACAACGGAAAGATACAGCGCGGCAAGAAGTGGGTTGCGTGAGAGTACGTCGCACAAGAAGGCACAGACACCGCTGTTGTGTTATGTTGCGAACGAGTAAAAATGGCAGCGGCTGCAGCGATCAAAGAAAAGCTTTAGCTTCTTTATCACGCACTTTCGATTCGCAACACTGCTACAACTTCTGCGCTTGAGGATCCTTTCCACATCCTGACGAGAGGAGCCGCTATACGCGCTTAATCGCGACCTTGGTCTTTGAACAGACAACAGCTCGCATGCACACTACGCTGAGGCCGATGTCATAGTTTGCGAATCGAGCGATTCGCTAGCGAATCGCGATCCGAGCGTTGCGCCAGCGAATCGAACGTTGCGCCAGCGAATCGAACGATGATGCACCAGCGAGTCGAACTATGAACTCGAAAGACTGTTTGAAAGCGACACTGTTTGGAAGCGGCGGGACTTCCTTTAAGCGTTGGGTCGAGTCGCTGGTACATCGTTCGACTCGCTGGTGCATACAGTCGATATCCGAAAGTTGGGGTAGGCGTGTCACCGGAAGTGACGTGCACTTGATAGAAGTTGCGTGGATAAGCTGTTGCCAGCATGCTTTGCTGATATCCAGCGATGTATGTTGGAAGCAGCTTATCCACATAGCTTCTATCAAGTGCACGTCACTTCCGGTGACACGCCTACCCCAACTATCGGATATCTGGTATAGTTGGACTCGCTGGTGCAACGTTCGATTCGCTGGCGCAACGCTCGTATCCAGCGAATCGCTCGATTCGCAAACTATGACATCGGCCCAATACTGAAAGCGAATTCACCTTGTATATCAATCTATTCCCAATAAAGCGTCTTTCCTCTGCCTAATTTCAATAAAAAGGGCTCACAATTGAGAATGGAGCAATGGTCCAAGTAAATCGCCTGTTTAGGGTGAAACCTGCCCCAAAGACGTTAGGCTGATGTCAGAGTCCGCGATCCGTCGCAGGTTTCGCTGATTTTCGCGATTTGCGCGATTCACGCGACGGGTCACGGAAATCACAAGTGCCCGATCAATACTGCAAGGTGTTCTCCAATCCTGCCGCCACTTCTGCTTGATAGTGATGGCTGAATGACGACTGCTCATGATTCCACTTGTTTCATATTCAGTGTTTCAAATGTTCACACACTTGCAATTTTTGCGATCCGTCGCGGTTTCGCGCAAATCGCGAAAATCAGCGAAACCTGCGACGGATCGCGGACTCTGACACCAGCCTAAACTGCCTTTCATCAGAGGCGAGTGCCGGATGGAATTGCCAGCGATCAAAAACAGAAACGGCCTTGCTAAATGCACTGGCACGGTTACAACAATGATCATCAGTTCACTGGTGCTTAAGTGGGTTGGGGGGAGGGAGCATACACCGGACAGGATTGTCCGGCTGCAGCGTGTATTCACACCACTTGCAGCGCAAGTGGTGTGAATACACGCTGCATACAAAAATGGGAGAAGCGTTGCGGCGTCGGCCTCGCCGCTACCGCGGCGAGGCCGACGCCGCGCGCGCTTCGCGCGCAGGGCAAGGGAGGTAAACCCCAACATGCCGCCCAAGCACGCGCGCGGCGAGTTCAGCGGCCCACCACGATCACTCTTTGCCGGTTAGGGCATGGTGAAGAGTGGAGCTCTGCTGAACTGGTGCTTGAGCCATCATCCACGTTATCCATAAACGGCGCCTAGTATAGTGCGCGGGGTTGCTCGACGCATTCTCTCCCCCATGAGAGAGCGCAGAGAAAACGAAAGTGGGAAGAGAGAGTGTGTGTCCGTGACTTTCATACGAGCTCGGATACGGTAGCGCGCGCGAAGTAAGTGGTGTGAATACACGCTGCACGCGGACAATCTGTCTGGTTAGCTTTGCTTCTGGTTGGGGGGGGGGGGGGCACGCGGCGGCGCGGCAGTCTGCTCGCCTGGCATGTTCGGAAATCCGTGGGCCAGGGGGAGTGTAGGCAGTCTAGGGGGGGGGGGCAGAGTCAACCCTGCGTTGCGCAGTTCTCAACGGCCACGTTGCGCAGTTTCGCCCGATTAGACACGTTCTCTCGCGCGAACATTCACACTCGCATGCTCGAGCCGTCTGTGTCTCCGCCCATACAGCGTGCGTTGAGGATCTCTCAACGTGCCGTTGCGAACTGCGCAACGCAGGGTTGACTCTGGTGGGGGGTGAGGGCAGTCACTTGACATGCGTGAAAAGCTGGAATGTTCGAGTTTACACTGTCTCGCTCGAGAGAGCTGCCGCGCCGCCGCGTGGCCCCCCCCCAACCAACTTAGCACCCAGTCACTTTGCTCATATAATCGTCTCACCATCAAACACAAGTAACTTGAATTAGTTTCGCATATAACTTGTAGACAACGCTTTTACCTGCATCTTCTCCACCTCTAAGCCAGCGTCAGAATCTGGTCTCATGCTCATGCTGGCTTAAAGGGGGAGAAGGTTTTACTCGTCATTGACGAAAGTAACGAAATAAGAGCTGCGACAGAGTTGTCCAAACGAATTAAGGCAGTGCTAACTTAGTTGGGGGGGGGACCGGCGGCGCGGCGCTCTGTTCGTCTGCTCCTCCAAGGCTTAGTCCGCCGATGGCGCGTATTTCGAAACTGCCACGTGGCGACGAAATAGTAACTGCCCCTTGGACTAAGCCTTAGAGGAGCAGACGAACAGAGCGCCGCGCCGCCGCGTGGTCCCCCCCCCCCCAACTAAGTTAGCACCATTGAGGCTTCATGGCAAGACCGCTCGATTTCAATGGCAGGATGGAAATGAACATCAAGCAATAACGACAACTTCAACACGTCAAACACCCCTTCCACGTCCGAAACTGTAGGTACAGTCGATATCTCGAAGTCTGATTGGGCGTGTCACCGGAAATGACGTGGCAGCCACCGCACTTGATAGATGTTGTGTGGATAAAATACTCCGCCAGATATCAGCAAAGCGTGTTGGAAGCAGCTTATCCGCGCAACTTCTATCAAGTGCGGTGGCTGCCACGTCATTTCCGGTGACACGCCAATCAGACTTCGAGATATCGACTGTAGACAGAAGTTCTGGAGTTTCCAGAAGCTCTTTTCCGGCGCCTTATCACGCCCTTACCCCTGTGGCGCTAACTTTTGTTCTGATTGAGTCTCCTAGCCAGCCTAATCCACTACGTTAATTTTCCATGCGTTTCCATGGGATTAATGGCGACCGCTTCCACTAAGCTCAATACCCCTGCCAGCTCAAAAAGAGCTTCAGTGAATATAGCAGATAAACATTTTACTAGTACGTTTCCAGATCGAAAAGATGGTATCAAATTTAATGCTTCTCTTACTTGTCCCGGGTCTATTCCAGTTAGGGGGGGGGGCATCATGA